TCCTAACCTGGTGTCTTTAACCACGACGCCAAACCGGCTCTAGGTTTGAAAAAATCCAGATGGTGTTCAGATGGTAGCAATGGGTTAGGGTTTTCTGCCACCTCATGGTCAATGGATTTCTGCGGCCCAGATACTGTACGTGTAGCAGAGAATCAGATACCCAAAGCTTATCCCCGTGCATAGAATGGTATATAGGACAGGCAGAACAGAAAGGTACAGGGAAGACAGAATTTTTCTCAGCACCCACATGCATGCACCCTGCCACTGTGGTCTATAAAACCAAGGCTGTGGCTAAGCGTACTGTGTGAACCTAAGGCATTCTCGTTATTTTAGTCAAGCAGACCGTGGCTTAAGACAATGGGCGAACCCAATCCAATATGTACAGTATTTGTATTCTGGATTATTTACCTCTCTAGCTTCATATGTATCAGGGACAGTAATTCTATACGGGGCATCTGGAATGTCATAATATGGTTGGTCCTTATGGATGTCCTAAAACAGAAAGGAAACATTGAACAGGTATCTGATGCAAACAACGTGGTTCCGAAATGATTCCTAAGGGCAACCCGATTTCCTGATTGAAGAATTAGGGATGTTTGTGCAAATCATGTTTCTTCTTGGGTGAAGTGATTGCACACTCATCCTAAAAGTTCTTAAGCTATTTCATTCATAATATTAGTGCTACAGACCACCAATTAACCTGCCCAAAAGGGGCCACTTTTGGAAAACATAACCATCATCTGGCCCATCATTAGCAAGGACTCTAATAAAATGAATGCGGTTAATCAGCTAGAAACAGATTGTGTGGGTGCATGCCTTCGAGTCATTGTTGACTCCTGGCGACTGCCTGGACTAGTTCCTGCTGTTTTCTTGGCAAGATTTTGGAAGTGGCTTGCCCTTGCCTCCTCCCTAGGGCTGAGAAAGAGTGACTGGCCCAAGGTCTCCCAGTTGGCTTTCAGCCTAAGGTGGGATTAGATAGTCTCCCAGTCTCTAGACCAGTGCCTTAACCACACCACCAAGCTGGCTCTCTAGAAACAGATCACTCTGGAAATACAGTAATTAAACAACTAAACAAGACCAACGCCTATGTCAGATGTATGTAAGGAAATCAAAATAATTGGTAACATTTTTATTCCTGATGCAATTTCAACGGTGGCTATCAAGGAATGATCTTAAAATATGACTAGACTGAAAAGTCTTTTTCTTACCCAGTGAAAGCTTCCTAGCATCCCTCATATGTCAAGAAAATAAAACCTATTTTTTGGCAATGCTAGTCACAGTTTTCTATTGCTTGCAATTGTTTGAGAAGCACTTACTGCACTGAGAGACAGTGAGAGAGTTTGCAGGATATCTAACATAGTCTTCAGCACCGTTCCACTCCAAAGCAAGTGAGGGAACCTTGAAGTGAACAAACAAAAAATTTCAAGCCCGTACAAAAACATCCATACGTGGGAGACAACAGCACCCAACCATTAAATTAGTAGCTGACTGACAAATTTAAGACTTAGCCCAACACTGAAGGAATCAAGTCACTTCCTGAGGGTGAGCTGAAGAACTACCGGCTGCTTAATTTGTTGAATCAATGTCTACATCTATTCAGACTGCTTAGATACTTTATAATCAGGAAAATGAAACAAATCTTAAAAGGGAATCCAGTTCTACCTACTGCCAATATGCTAAAGAGGACATCCCACCATGTTTTTTTTCTAAATAATTGCATTTGAAACCATTTCAATTGTTCTGATTTCACCAGAAGTAAAAGAGGTGAAACCTGCATTACAATCAAGTCATTGTGAAGTACTTACTTGTCTACAAGCCCTGATAAGTATTTATCTGCAACCCGTCTTATTCTCTTATGAATGTGGTTAAAGTTCACTAGCAGGAATTGGGCATGCCTTTCCAGCTCTTCTTCATTTTCTTTCGTTTTAGCCTAAATATCAAAAGAAGAACCATGAAAGTCCTTTGTTATGGTTTTTTTTCAATCAACACATCGCCTTTTATTAACTTCCGAGTAAGCATTCAGAAGATACATTGGCATACTATATGCCAAAATTGTCTAAACCTATATTTTAATCATTCAACTCAACTTGCCCATCACCAGATCACTTCATTCATTGCTATAAATCATTCCTGAAATGGTTCTGCTGCTGGGAGTTTGATATGTATACTTTACTATAGAAGCACTTATCTTAAATTCTTTCTGTGTTAGTGTCTCTACCCTGCTAAAATGGCACTGCTTTTCAGCCATGGGTGAAGAAAACAGAAAAACTAACAGGGGGTGAATTCCCCTGCCGGAGAAAGACATAGTAAACTGAACAAGTCACACAGCCTGGTTCATATTCATGATGCACCTTAAAACATGATTGACACATTACGTGAAAACTAAATGAACTGCATTATAGCTTAGAATGATATGTGAACCCAGCCAGCATAATGATTATATCAATGTGCAAATTATGCAATTAATCTTTGAACATTGTAGCCTATTCTCTTCCTCTCCCTTCATGTTTCATTCCCATTTTCTGTCTTTTTCATTTCCAGTTAGCATAGTCTGCTACATCAGAATTGAGCAAAATATTCCCAAGCAAAGCTCACTTCCATAATGTCAAGCCATGGCCTGGTGTTATCTCTGAACTGATTTACAATCTGCTCTATTCTACTGTAGTCCTCCTAGTTCTGATACACATTTCTCTAAGTGCACGTGACAGTCTTTTAGATGACAACTTCAAGTCAGCACCTGGTTCTTCTGAAGGTTTATAGGATGGCCACTCCATCGCCTGTCTACTGAAAAGCCTTCCTGTTCCATGCGGGAGCTCCACCAATATGTCAGAACGAGAGTAGAGAAAAATTAATTTGGAAGCTCCCCAAACTGTAATGGGAATATCAGAGGTTTGTCTCATCCAGTATTAAGAGATGCTTGCAAGCACGCTGGGTGTTTCATTTGAGTGAAACAACAGCTATATGCTCTCGTTGGACAAACTTACTTTGTCTGCCATCATGCTAAGGAAAGCTTCAAACACCTTATCCGCAACGGCTATCACACACTGCATCATGCCTGAAAAAGAGGAAACAGCACAGTGTTTAAGAAAAAGAAAAATGAAATGAAATGAAATGAAATAAAATCACTGCTGTGGTTGAAAACTGTGCCCAGCAGGAAACATCTCTCATAAGCTGTAAAAACACACATATTTGCTTATTTATTTATATCCCAATAATTATCCAAAATCACATCACAGGATTGTCTGGAAAAATTCATTTATTCTGCAGGAGTTTGACACAGGCACCCATCTAATTTAAGTAACACAGAATCGGAATAGCTTTACCTGATTTGTCTTTCTGAATAGCTTTATCCTCAAAGTAATAAAACATCACTTGGAAACGATCTGGGTCTGTTGAACGTAGGACCCTAGCAGACCAGAGATTGGGAATTAATTTTACCAAGATATGCTTGAAACAGAATTTTTTATAATATTTTATAGTTTATATCTATCTATCTATCTATCTATCTATCTATCTATCTATCTATCTATCTATCTACCTACCTACCTACCTACCTACCTCCATCCATCCATCCATCCATCCATCCATCCATCCATCCATCCATCGGAAATAATGTCTAGCATTTTTCAATCAACACAGAATTCACTGGCAAAAGATGCCAATACTAGCAGTTCAAGCATTTTCAAAAAAACAAACTGAAAAAAATTACGAGAAAAGGAAAAACTTCAAGGCCATTAGCGAGGAAACTAAAAGCGATTCATAGTCCCTCGTTCACAAGTTCATCCTAGTTCTCAAGCTGCTACAATGGAGATTCCTTAGTTACAGTGGGAATTTACAAAATATTATTAAACCCTGTGTCCGTTTGCACGATACGCTTCACCTAGGTTGCCACTAACTGGTCAAATTGGCTTATCAGTGGCTGTGGCAGGAATTACATTACTGGGTCAAAAATGGCCATTTTGGGAAAAGTCTGGTATTCTATAAGCCCATGTGCCAGAAGATTACTGGTAAGACCTCACTACGATCTTAACTCCTTTCTCACTGGCCAGACAAGCCCAGGAGCTACAGCTGGGGCACCACAATCAACGTTTGGGAACTGTGTTTAATACTGCTGGGCCATGATAGAGAGCAACGTGATGGAAAGGTCTGGGCTCCCCTACTTCCAAACAGTCTCTCCCTCTCTTTCTCGCCAGCTCTTTTTCTTGGGGGATTGAAATGGCCAACTTGTGTTTGGGTTAGGGCAGTGTTGTCCAAACTTGGCCACTTTAAGATGAGTGGACTTCAACTCCC